AACCTCACTTGTTGCCTCAGAAAAAACATTCATGTCCCTCGAACGTGGGATGCTTTAGCAAAGACCCTCGATTAAAAGATTGTAGTCCCTCGATGACCCTTCGATGTTACCTTTGGTAAAACGATCTTAGTCCCTTACGAAAATTGCTAAAGCGTCCCACAAGTTTCCTTCTATGATTGTACGATGACCCACGCCACTTCCTCACATCCAATGATATAGATCCCTACCAACCAATGGTAAAGTAGCACTATCTAAAGGAGGAGGAAAAGAACAAAGACCTTTTGAGTAGGTAGATCGCTTGTAATCGCTTGCTCACAAACTAAAATAATCTTTACACCTCACACTTTTAAAACACTTTTCAAACAAACATTTTGTATACATTCTCAACGATACGAGAATCATTACAAAATTTCCTTACATTGGCATCTTCAAAACATCTTTCCAAACACTCTCTTTCAACGAATATTTTTAAAACCAACACTTTGTATACATTCTCAACGACACGAGAATCATTTCAAAGTTTTCCATACGAAGGAACTTTTAAAAATATTTTCAAACACAAACACATTTACAAAGCATTTCAAAGTGAGCTAGGAATTAAGAGCCTGCAGATAACTATGGATGATAAGGATGCTAACACCTTCCCTTTTCATAACCTACCGCCCCGAAATCAATAAAAATTCTCAAAAGGTCTTTCCTATTCTTTTCACCCATTCATTTATTGGATAAAAGAAAAGTTGGTGGTGACTCTTGCTATCTGCAACATTTACGATAAAACGCAAAATACCAAGTCAGTTCTCCCACCATATTACACATACTCAACAAGATTTATGTTAAATTGACTCTTAATGTTTGTTAAATTATCACTAAACCACATTGCCAATTCTTTATCTCTAATCATCCATTTCTTTTCAATAATCAATTTCGATTTCAAGAACTTGCATGTGCATCACATTAGGATTACTTTTCATAGGGGGAAATTTTACTTACGAGTCAATACTTAGCATCAAGGAGATTTCAAAAATGGTCTGTGATCAAAGGCAGCATTTCTAAGAAGCTTTTAACTAGGGGCAAAGAATCTAAGAGGACCCTTATAAACAGGGGGAAATCCTAATGATCATAGGGGCACATCAACTAAGGATCCTATTGACTAGGGGAACTCATTATAAGATTTGGTCAACTTGGATCACTTCTCAAAACACCAGTTGGTAAAGGGCCTACTTTTCAAGATTCAGACACTTGGGGTAACCTATATCAAAACCTATATCATAGAATGGCGGGATCCAAGTTCCTTCTTAGGACACTCCTCCAAATCCTAAAGATAGGGGCATACCTTTCAAAATTCAAATGTTGGGGTTGACCACTACGAGACTCAGAAACTGATTCTAAATGGTTCATCAAGGGAAAATCATTCCAAGGATCAGTTAATCAAGGGCATGGTATTTCAAAATTCAAATGTTGGGGCATGACACGCCACAAAAGGAAAACTCTCTTTATACTTTCACAATCCCCAATGGACCTCTCTTCTACATCCATAATCTTTGAGTTCATAAAGAGTATCCGGAAGTCATGTCAGCATAATACCCTACCACTTTTTCAATAATCTTTCTTGTTGCACTAGTAACCTCTCCGAGTCTTAATCATTTCTTTTCCCACAACAGGGGCACCATTAAAAAAGAATTTGAGTCATGATCATAAATCATAATGCATAGCATAAAACAATGTTTCGTGTAAAGACAATCATCATTATCAATCAATTTATCTATTCTACACAGAATCTCGACAGTAGATTCCCTGGTTGATATCTGCAGTTGATTATCCAGAAGACCTCGACAAAAGGTAGTTCTCAATCGAATATCGGCAGTAGATTCCCTTGGTTGATCTCGGTAATTGACTATCTATATGACCTCGGAAGAAGGTAGTTCTCAACAGAATCTCAGTAGTAGATTCTCCTGGTTAATCTCGGCAGATGATTTTCCAGAAGACCTCGACAGAAGGTAGTTCTCAATAGAATCTTGGTAGTAGATTCTCTTAGTTAATCTTGGCAGATGATTTTCCAGAAGACCTCGGCAAAAGGTAGTTATCAACAGAATATCGGCAGTAGATTCTTCTGGTTAATCTCGGAAGATTATTTTCTAGAAGACCTCAATAGAACGTAGTTCTCAATAGAATCTCAGCAGTAGATTCTCCTGGTTAATCTCGACAGATGATTTTCTAGAAGACCTTAGCAGAAGGTAGTTCTCAACAAAATCTCGACAGTAGATTCTCCTGGTTAATCTCGGTAGATGATTTTCCATAAGACCTCAGTAGAAGGTAGTTCTCAACAGAATCTCGACAATAGATTATCTTGGTTAATTTCGGCAGATGATTTTCTAGAAGACCTCAGCAGAAAGTAGTTCTTAACAGAATCTCGACAGTAGATTCTCCATGTTAATCTCGGCAGATGGTTTTCTAGAAGACCTTGGCAGAAGGTAGTTCTCAATAGAATCTCGGCAGTAGATTCTCCTGGTTAATCTCGACAAATAATTTTCCAAAAGACCTCGACAGAAGGTAGTTCTTAACAGAATCTAGACAGTAGATTCGTCGGGTTGATCTTGGCAGATGATTTTCCAAAATCTCTCGGCAGTAGATTTCCTGTTAAGAGCCTCACATTAAGTGTGACATGCACATAATCATATCAAAGCACCAAGGTCATTCATAACATTTGGTGCATCTAACATATGGAAACACCAAAGAGTATTTGATGAAGAATCAAAGTTTATTTTGGTTCGAAAAACGTCGAAAGAGGTCCATGACTACATCCACACCTGCGACCATAGCCACGTCCACACTTATGTCCACGACTACGCCCACGCCTACATCTGCACTTACGATACAAATATCAAAATCTTGCTGACACTTATCAATGCAAAGACACCACGGCAACGCAATATACGACATCGGGGAGTCGGTGACACAAAACCAATGGTTTAAAAGGAGAAGAATATTAAAACATTTACAATATTTGGTGCATCTACAAACATATGAGGCATGTACAAACATTCATATTTTGGGGCATATACAAAATACTTAGTGCATATACATTTTGGGTTCCATATCAACTTAGGACATTATACATGGCATTTTTCAAATACATTTTGGTTAAACTATGAACTTTCTTGGGGCCCATTATTGAATTACTTAACGAACAAATACCTTGGTTGAGAACAGACACAACCAGTAAACTCTGATCTTATCTTTGGTCTAGTTATCTAAGATTTAATTACAAAAATAGCTTTTCAAGTATCTATCCTCTAGGTTGTGGTAGGTATGCGAATTTTCAGGATTATGTTATGTATCCTTTAGGTCGTGATAAATACGTAAGACTATCTTCGTGTCCTTTATCCTCTAGGTCTTGATAAACACACAAACTTTTCAATCATCTATCCTCTAGGTTATGGTAGATGTAATAATTATCGGGTTTATATTATTCATTCTCTAGGTCGTAATGAATATATAAATCTATCTTCGTGTCGTTTATCCTCTAGGTCGTGATAAACGCACAAACTTTTCAATTATCTATCCTCTAGGTTGTGATAGGTATGCAAATTGTCAGGATTATGTTGTTCATCCTCTAGATCATGATGAAGACATGGACCTATCCTCGTGTCATTTATCCTCTAGGTCGTGATAAATGCACAAGTGTATCCTCGTTTTATCTAGCCTCTAGGTTGTGGCAGGTAAGCAAATTCTCAGGGTTATATTATTCATCCTCTAGGTCGTGATGAATACCTAAGCCTATCCTCGTGCCGTTTATCTTCTAGATCGTGATAAAGGCATGGGTCTATCCTCGTATTGTTTACTCTCTAGGTTGTAGTAAACATACGAAATTTGTGATATAATTCATTGTATTAGTCTCCATGTGACAATGAATTATCAGACTCTGTTATTCATCCTCTAAGTTACGATGAGTATACAGAATATGCGTTAAGCTTACTATGTTAGTTTCAAAGCTTTAGTAAGTTAACTTTCAAACTTGTGTTATTTACCTCCTAGAGCGTGGTAAATACACAAAAATCTAGGTATTGTCGAGTTATCCGCGTCGTCATACTTCTTGCGCTAACTCTGGTAAGATGATACATCATCATCTTTGCCTATCTTTCTTCATTCACTGGGGTATGGTTTACAGTATATCCTTGTCTAGTCAACCTTGGGTCAAATTTTGGGGTCTTCCATTATTTAATAACCCTTCGATTCGAATATGCGAGACCTGCGTATTCTCGCACCCTTCAATGGAAGAGTAATTAGATAGGGGCAGCTGTCATACCCCAAAATTTCCCGCCCTTTATTTCTATAGTCAAAAATATTTTCAAAATTGGTTTTTATAATATTCTTTGGTTCAATTTTACTAACATTTTAACAATAATTTATTTCGCTCATTTAAAGATGTAAAATATTTTATTTCAAATTATTTTTATTTTAAATAACAAATACTTGTTCACTTTCATATACTTTCAATTGGGTTTTTTATTTCAAATGAATAACATAACACATTTGATAAGGAATGAAGCTTGCAAGTATGAGGTCCTGAGTTTAAATCACGCGTTTCTCACTTTTTTACATTTTTCAGTTTTATAGAATTCTAACCTTATTTTAATTTTTTTTATTCTAAAAAATCATCAAAAATGATATTTTTATATTTTGTTTCTAATTTTCGTTTTTGATTTAAAGAATTTTTTAAATAATAATATTTTATTTCATTTTGTGCATTTCTTAGTCAAAAAGAGTAAAAAACCAATAAAAAAACATATAAGGTAAGTTTTCATTTAACTTTGGGTTCAAGGAAATTAACATTAAAATTTTCGATTTAATTTGTTCTACTTTTAGGAAAAATTAAAACACATATATTTTATGTTAATTTTCTATTATTATTGATTTTTATCTTGATTATTTTCTATATTTGTTTAACCTAATTTTTTGTATAAATAATGTCTCAATTTCATACTTTGTGAGGGGGTCCAATTCATCCACAAAACCTTGTTTTGACTGTACGAACTTTTCACTACACACTACACACTTTGGTAACTTCCTTACTCTTTCTTCCTTTCCACGTTTTATTTGCTTTTGCAGTAGCCATACAAATAACCAATTCACTCATAAACAAAACCCACTTTTCAACTACTTTGTACATAGACTTATACTTTTTTTACCATACAAAATCACCTCTTTCTATCTTAAATCATATATACACTACCTTCACATCCATACCAATCACTATCATTCTCATGACCATAATCATCACCTTTTTCTCACAACATAAACCAAATAAAAATCAGTATTAACCATAAACCTTCACCCTGTCAATATAAACAAACATCATTAACTATCACAACAACATTGTCACAAAACAACAACAAATTTGCAATAGAGCAATCTTCAAAAAAATAGAAAAAGTGAAACTGAGAAAAGAGAAAGAACATGCAAATCGAAGGAGAAGAAGAAGTCTCATCAGAAAACAGACTCGGAAGTCGCTTCAGGCCGGATCTGCCGCATAGCAACTACAACGACTATTATCCTCAAACCCAACGCGCAGCCTACTGCGTCGGTGAGCATAAGCACCTCTCACCGGAAACCGCCCTCCTTCCACTTCCGCAAAAACCGCACAACAGATCTGCGCACGAGCTCAACATTGTAGCATGTCTTCTTCTGACGTTCTCCGCCCAAACACATAACAACACCACTCAATTTTGACGATTAACCCACATGTTCGATCAGCTGTGAAATCGTGATTTCGTACCTCCTCCACCGCGACCAATCTCGGACCACTAGCAGATATTCGGATCCGTAGCCTCAAATCCCTCTGACGATTCCCGGATCCACCACCATTGAAGGTTTTATTTTGGAGTTTGAAGGGGACAAATTGGGAGATAAAAGATAAATAAAGAAGAAGGTGTATAAATGAGAACAAATGGAAAAAACGAATCTGTGAGAGAGATGAAGTTGCAGGTTTTGTCTTTTTTAATCTTTAGTGAGGTTGTATTTTATTTTTATTCCCAATTATTTAACACGTGTCTCAATCTGATGGGCTGGAAAAAGTTGGAAAAGTCAAGTAAAATTAAAAGGTGAGATCTATGTTTTACGTTTTTTATTTTCTTATTTTTGTTACCAATATTTTGTTTTAACATAGGGTTTAAATATTAAGATTGAGTTTGGGCTCATATTTCTAACATTATTTTAATTGCACCACTCAACTTTCTACTATACCCCTTTTAATTCTAACTATTTAGTTTATCATTTTGAATTTGTTGATTTACTTTGTTTAGTTGTTTTCACTATCACATAAACATCAGAAATACAAAATACAAAAACATCAAAATACTAAAAATAAATCAAATGCTATAAATTCAAACCCTTTTCATGATTAAATTAATTCAATATTTTTACAAAGATATCAAATCCCATGCAACTCACCGAATACTCCATATGTAAGTCACACGTGGTCAATTTCTGGCCACATGATGAGGAAGACTTTGACAAACTTTCTCTGCATCCTTCATGATGAGTAACATGTGGCTAATATCTGGCCACGTGATGAGAAGACTTTATCAGGCTTCCCTAGCTCCGTGTCTTACCATACTCTCTAATCAAATCGAATTTTTAAATAACTAACCAATGATCAAACCATTTTTCTACTAGCATAACAAAAATTATAAGATTATTTTTGAAAAAGGATTAAATAGAATTACTTTCAAAATTAACTGCGAATTGCGTGTACGATTACTCACTTTTCAAACCCATACAAGGTTCAAGGGTAAATTCTAAAGCAATTTTATGTAATCCTATAAAAAAAACACCAACCAACACTATGAACTACGAATTGGGACTCTGATTCCTCATAAGAAGATACATAGGAATACGACTTAAAAATCATGGCGAGTTTCCTTACTAAAAATTAAAATCCTATTTCATGAATTGTAAATCTAAACCCTAGTATCCTTGTGAACAAGGTACATGAGGGGTTCCTAACACCTCCCTCTCGTCTAAAACGAGTCAACAACTTAGAATCTTTGTATCGATTTAGGGTTATTCCGTTATATTTCCTTCCCTAGGATAAAAATTAATGGTGACAACTCTATATTTTTAAGTCGGATATTACAATATTTCCATTGGAAATAACTTTACTAGTAACTTGCAATAAATATTAAATAAGTTGTAAAGTGATTCAAACATATTAATTCAAGTGTTATCCTTATTCCATATTAAATTTGATTTTAAGTTTACATATATGAGTTTCCAATGAAATTCGTAAAGACAAAATTTTTGAAAAAAGCTTACGTGTTACTCTTTGATAAAATAACTTTTTCAAAACCAGAATTTTTTCTTGATTAAGTTTTAAAGGGGTATCTATTCACCCCCTCTAGATACGTTGCCATCGTCTAACAAGTAGCATCGAGAGCCCGATTCATTTCGGCTTTGACACTCTTTAGAAAAGGATTATGAACCTAAAGGGGATTATAAATGAGCCCCAATTTTCACGAGATAAAATTATAGTTATTGGAAAGCTTGTATGCAAATTCATGTCAAATCATATGGAAAAGGTGTTTGGGAAGCAATTCAAAATGGTCAATCACCAGTGACATATGTTGTTAATGGTGCTACCGTACCAAAGATGGAAAACTTATGGGATGAGAATAATAATAAGAAGTGGTCTTGTGATTGGAAAGCTAAGAATATCATCATATCCTCTCTCTGTGTTGATGAGTTCTATCGCATTTCCCATTGTCAAACTGCTAAAGCTATATGGGATGCTTTATAAATTACCTATGAGGGAACTAATAAGGTCAAACAAGCTAGAACTAATACACTTAATCAAGATTTTAAACTCTTTCGAATGAAGCAAAGGGAAACCATTGCTCAAATGTAAAAGCGGTTCTCGCATCTTATTAATCGTTTAAATTTACTAAGTAATCTTATTTACAATAATATTGCTACTAACAAGATGTTGAGATGTCTTACTAGGAATTGGAAACCAAAGGTCACCTCGATCAAGGAAGCCAACATTCTTGCAATACTTGATCTCACCGCCTTGTTTGGAAGGTTAGAAGAACACAAGCAAGAACTCAATTGCTTGGATAAACATAAAAAGAAGCTTGAGAAAAAGAAAAAATGAAAAGGGGGTTTTTAAGGAGGAAGTATTAAAGTCTAAAGCTCTCAAGGCTTAAAACTCAAAGTCCTCAAAAGATGAGCCCATTAATGATAGTGAATATAGAAATGAAAAGAATTTGGATGATGAAGAAATGGGATTAAATTGTAAGGAAATATAATCGATACATTCTGAAGAGTGGTGTCAAACACTCCAATAATAATCTTGTAAAATTTAGAAGACAGTCTTATTCCTCTAAAGACAAAGACAATAAAAATGATAAGACAAAGGGTATTTATTATGAATGCGGAAAATTGGGCCATTATAGACCGGATTGTCCATCTCTTGCTAAGAATAAAGGAAAGGATCAACAAACAACTCTAGAAATCCTAGATAAACCTATATTGCTTAGGATAGTGATAGTGATGTCTCAAGCGATGAAAGCTCAAGTGAGAGAGATGAAGAGGAAAACTATTGTTTCATGGAAAATCATCGTGTTGCACCCCAAAACTTTTCCCTTTCATTTTATTCAGGGCAAGCTCATTAAGGTCCCCAATTGCTCAAGGTTGACCAAGAATTGATCAGATAAATTCTCCTCATAAGCAGTGGCCTTTCAACTAATTTCACTTTTCACCAAGATGTGTGAGTTCCAGGGCTTCAAATGATTTTCATGGCACCCTATATGCCTCAGCATAATGGCATAGCTGAAAGAAAGAAAATAAGTGTGCATGACAAAGTGTAGGTCAAAGGCTGAAAATATGCCTAAGGGCTTTTGGGTCGAAGCAGCTTCGACAGCAGTATGCAGGCTAATTTGAATGATCGAAGGAGGGCTAGTTCGAAAGAAAGCGTGATAAGGCTTTTCTGAGTTCTTCGATTGGAAGAGCTAGTAAAGTTATCGAAGGGTGTTGTTTTCGAATCATGGAAATATAAGTTATTCGAAGAACTACAAGAAAAGACCTTTTGATTGACACGATGTTTGAATGGGAACTTTGAAAAGAAGAATATTTTGTAATAAAAAAGCTTTTATTTTATCCAAAGAAACATGTGGAAGGCTAATGATTCGAAGGACATGCAACCTTCAAACATGGCATGATCGAAGAACAACTAGAAACCAGTCAGCCAGATAGGATTCATCTTGTAGTTTTAGGATCAATATGTTTCAGGCATGTGCCTGAATGTACAAGGGAGTTAGGTGATCGGCGGTTCTCATAGGTTATCCTTTGATTGGTGCATACAAGCTGTATTCACCAATCGAAGGTGAACTAAGGATCAGTAAAGATGGCCTTATGAACGAAAGCAAAAAGGTGGGAGTAGAGTAAAAAATTGTGATTCGGAGGAGGTGAGCAGCACAAACCTTCAACACAGTCACCACAACCAAAACTGTGATTCGAAGGAGGTGAGCAGCACAAACCTTCGACACAGTCACCACAACCAAAACTGTGATTCGAAGGAGGTGAGCAGCACAAACCTTCGACACAGTCACCATAGCCAAAACTGTGATTCGAAGGAGGTGAGCAACACAAACCTTCGACACAGTCACCACATCCAAAACTGTGATTTGAAGCAGGTGAGCAACATAAACCTTCGACACAATCACCATATCAAAAACTGTGATTTGAAGTAGGTGAGCAGCACACACCTTTGACACAGTCACAACAGTCAAAACTGTGTTCGAAGGAGGTGAACAAAATGAAACCTCAAGAAAAGGAAATCAAAGGAATAAGAATGGAGTTCAACTAGGCTGTTTGAATATGAGAATTTTCCAGGTCAAACAACCAATGCAAATGGACTCAATCGAAGAAGCCATGGGGATGAAACTGTGAGAAAATCAAAGGGAGCCACTCAGAGCCATCAAAGAATAAGGCTTGAGGGCATTCGAAAGAGTCAAGATGAGAAACCAGTCCAGGTTCATTCAAAATCCAAAAGAGTAAAAAATCATCAAAAATGGCAACTCTTTTAAGACTTTCGATTCTGCTTTCAAAGCCACGGTTAATGGATGATTCTTGCCATTTTCGTTCGCCACTGTGCCCCTATAAATACAAAGCTAAAGTGCAAGCAAAGGGAGGCATTAGCCAGACGAAACATTGACTCTAGAGTCCCACACATTTCCTAAAGAAACCCTCTCAAAATCATCAGTTTTTCAAAGAATCGCAAAAATTCGTAACTCACATCCCGACCCACATTCATAAGGTTTAAGCC